GTAACGAAGATTAATGGAGAATACGGTAAGAGAATATATATATATATATATATATTTCCATAGCGTAATTGAGGCAAGAGAAACTGTGATAATCGAAGGATTTAAGGTAAACGGTAAGTTTCTTAGCGGATATAATTATTATTATTGGCGTGGCATTTAATTAAACGTAGCGATAGACAATGAGACTCGTTGATTAACGGAGACGTCGTGACTACGGCGAGACGCTCCGTCTCTCGCGTAAACATTTAATCTCCCTAAGCGCTAAGTGTTAAATTAGAAATTATCGGAAAACAGTATCGTTTATACGTCGAGTCGCCATAAAAGCTTTATCTTCTGATTGTATTCATGAGAGACTTAACGCTCGCGATGCGCTCCGTCGAAATCAATTCCCCCGGACGCGGTAAGCACTTCGCCGTGGCCACAAAATTATTCATCGATTGTTTTCTTTTCATCTCGCGGACTACGGAGAGGGACAGATTATCGCGCGATCGTCCCAGGCAGGTGCCATTTTCTCGTCGTCGCCGTCCTTTTGGACGTGGCCGGCGTCTACTACGAAACGGGGAAATGGGGATTTCGCAATTATTATGCCGTCGACGCGACGAGAAGGAGATTCCGTTTACGATCGGTATCGTTTACGATACCCGTACACACGCGCACGCATACGTATATATACGTATATATACACACACATATACGTATATTTATGCGCTCACATCGACAGCTTGCACGCGGACGGCATGCGGCCCCGCACGCGCGTTGCTCACGTATAGAAGCTCGTTTAAGCCGCGATGTAAGCCACGGAGGCTTCGCGTGATATCCTAGTTCAACGTCGAATCTCTTCGTTTGCATAGGAATGAATTTATGCAGATTAATACACGCGAGACGTCCGTGTTGGGTAGGGCCACGTGGGATGTAGCGCGGCACCTACACGAAGCTGCGAGTGTACATTGCATATTTTATTGGCGGCATCGCGCTTCGCGGATTTCCGATCGCGCGAACGCGCGCCACACACGACGCGATTCGCCATTCGCGAGCCCCCGCGAACCCACCTCGATTCGATTTAATCTATGTTCCGCGATATCGTTTAATTTATTTCTAATGTCGATGGCAGAGCGAAACAGACGCCGTGGCAGGTTTGTCTCGTATCGAGCGTATATTAATTTCATTTCCAATACGCAGCTCGGAAACTTAGAAGTCTCCTCAGAATGTTTGACAGGTTCTATCTGAAATTAATTCGACATTATTTATGAGCTAGTTGCGAGATAAGTTTTTATCGAGGCGTATAAAATATCGCATCGGTGTTTCCGTTTGATCGGCATAATTTATTACGTATTTAATTGCCGTATAAGAAAGTATCGACTGTACGTAACAGAAATAAATTAGGATACATTACTATTAAATAATAATTATAGTTTAACGAGATACGGTTGCTTTTTTCCTGTTACGAACTCTGAAAGGAATCGCCCCGGACAAATCGTCGAGTTGACCCTAATTGCGCGGAAGCCAAGGAGAAACGATGTCGGCGACGTGGAGGCGAAGTCCTCCGTACAAAACGAAGCCAATGAATTTAGTAATCCGCTCTGTCGGCGGAGTCGTTGTCCAGGACAAGGCTGGGACAGCGGAGAACGAGGTACGGGATGGCGCGGGATGTCTCGCTGGAAAAGCGATCCTTATCAGTCGTAAAAACACGTATGCACCGACTCTCGTCGAGAAATACGAGCCAACCGCGAACGTAACCACGCCCGACGAATGGAACGTTAATGTCAGTTAATTATCTGTAAAGCTTTCGGCAGGGAGAAGATTCGTTTTCGAGCGCGGCCGTTTGTAAGGCGTGGGCGAGTCGGACACGCTCGTGAAAACACGGGACCGACGTGTATCTGCCTTCGCTCTCATGGGAAAAATGCCGCCTGTTTACGGATTCCGGGAGACTATCCGCTATCTACCTGCGGTAACCTTGTCGTCGAACCAGATGAATCGAGAGATTATAACGAGGCGGTCCTATTAGACGGCTCTTTGCGAGCTCGTTCAAAAAAAAAATCAAGTTTTTTTTTGTAATTTTTCTGGTTTCTCATATCAATTGGATATGACATTAATAATGGGTATATTAGACAGAAGAATTGTCTCGATATATAGCTAAAAAAAAAATAAATAAATTCATATATTCCGCAGAAATCTATTTACTTTAATTTTGACGTAATCACGAAATGTTGTGCCACTTGTGCAGTTTTTATATTTTTTACATATATGTGATTTATTTATAAAATCTGACGTGAACCACTTGATTTTTATCCCGAAGTATCGGTCCACTAGATATGAAAACTGCAAATCCAAGAAGATAGCGTATTACGCGGAGAGCAAAACGCGGCAGGGGATGCGAGCGAATTTACGAATTGATCTCAGCCGTGATCCTCGTGCCGCGTTCGAAGACACGCTTTGATGACTCAGATCCATTCTAGTTAGGATTTCGTGTATCCTTAGCTCGAGCAGACCTAGAAGCAACAAAATCTATGCGCAAACATGGGTGCCCTGCGTTTTGTATTTTTATTACAAATACTACGTTATATTATTATTTTATTACAAATACTACGTTATATACGCGATTGAATTATATCTAATCATTCATATAGATAAAATCTTTTGTAGATTTGACTTTAATAATTTTGATTTCCAAAAATTTATGCATATTCTCTTATGTATAAAGCGATATATATATTTTTAAAGAACAGGTCAGAAAGGGCATTACTCGATGGACTAGATCTTCTGTCTAAAATAATCCTCTTTATTGAATTTATATCTGTAAATTCAGAACAATTATTTATATTGCAAACTATGCTCTATTATTTTTAACGGATTTAAAGCATAGTAGCTTAAAATTATAACTAAATTTATTCCCCTTAATAAATCGATAATTAAATTTATAAAATCAATTACCTCTCTTCTCCTCTCTACAGAAACTTTTCTTATTGCGAAAAATATCACCTCAGCCAGGAATCGAATCTGGATCATCCGCTTTCGGAATGTCTTATCTTTCGACCCCTGAGATATGTGGTGGTATTTATTGTAATAATCAGATTTAAGCTTTGAACGTTATTTTTCAATCGATGATAAAAGGTAAACACAAATTAACGTAATAAAAATAACCGACAATAACCTGAGAAATTTATATATTTTTTATTTAATTCGTCGTATGAGGTGCAGATTATAAATTTCCTGGGATATTTAATTTTTTGGCATTTTTCCGCTCCGCAGAATTCAGTTATTCATTGAGAGAAACTGAAAGACATACAAGACATACAAGAAATCCTTTTGAGCGTTCAATGTTCACCCCATCGACAGACGTCACGGATAAGATAACCCGGAATTATAGAGGGCTTTATTCGAGGATCGTCTATCACGCGACGTTTAGATTTATGGCGCTGTATGTAGTGGCCGGTCGACTTTCCATTTATCAGAACGCGATACCTGTAGCATTTCGGGCGTGGATGGCCGTGCGAAACAACCGCAAACTTCGATCTGCCGCGAACAAATGGACGGAGTCTCGCGAAAGAAACGGGC